AAATATATAAAAACTCAAAAAATTGAAAATAAAAATGCCATTAATTGAAGTTTACATGTTAGTGTTGAGAGTTGATGAAAGTATTGGATTAACAAGATCCTTAACAGGACTTTAGGAGAAACGGATGTTTAAACTGGGGAATTAGTGTTGGGTTGTATGAAATATATTTGGAGCAGAAGACAGAGATTCATATTTCACAATATCAGAATTCCCATACAGTAAGTTTTGACAGCAAAGTGAATTCTTTGCAAGGGTAAACCAGGTTTGTTTGGCTAGAGCAGATAGTACAAGCCTTTCAAAAATGTCAGTGGAGAAAGGAAAATATCATGCAGCAGAAAATCATTACTAAGAAATTAGATCCGGGGACTCCCCGGTGGCGCAGTGGTTGAGCGCTGGGTTGCGAAGCTGCCCGCAGCCTCTGTGGCGCCGTTTCGATCCCCGGCTGCTCCCCGGCCACCGGAGGAGGGTCCCGCATGGCGCGCAGACCTCTCCTGCCGCCCGCTGCTCCCCTCAGCAGTGTACTTCGGTCCTTCTGCCTGCTCTGCTCCCCGCTCTGGCTCTGGTGAATTCTCTCACCCTCCCGCGCTTCTGACTGTACCCAGTGCTTGTATAAATAAATAAATAAATCTTTAAAAAAAAAAAAAAAAAAGAAATTAGATCCAATACAAAACACAACAGTAGAGTTTCTAAAAATACACACAAATCATTATTTTTTATACCTACATGAATATAGATTTCTTTGCCTGTTATTCCCTTTAAATTATTCATTATTTCCTCATCTGGCCAAAATTCTGTTCAGTCCTTAAGATCAATCTCTCTCACTGCCAAGAAGCTTTCCTTGACCTTCCTTGTAAATTTTTCACTCTTGAGTACCTCTTACCCTTAGAAGAAAAGGATTTAAGAAAGAGAACTGTTCTTCCTCTATGATCTCAGTGCATCTCATGACTCAATCTGTTTCATCATCTCTATTCACTGGACTGTAAAGTCCTTGATGCCAAATTCTGTCTTATTCCTCTTCCTAACTTGTGTGCCTTGATTGCTGGTCAAATCATCATTATCTACATGTACTATATATATATATATATATATATATATATATATATACATGTATACATTTTCCTATATATATATATATTTTTTTTTCCTTTCTTATGGAAAGGAAAATGATCAAAATATACATAGGGGTCCAAGATGGTGGAATAAGGAAAACTTGAGTTTACCTCCTCCCATGATCACAATAAATCTCAACTAAATATGTATAAGACTATACAGAATCAAAACCTAAAACCTGGAATCAATAGACTATCCATAACAAAGGATAAATGGTAGCACCTATACAGACAGGAAAGAGAGACACTTTCACAAAGCAAGAAACTCCATCTTGGGGGTAATGGGGCACAATTGGGAAGAGATCTCTAAGGTGTGGCACGTTTCTCTGGGGACCCAAGGGAAGGTTGTGTGTAATGCCTGGTACTGAACATTATGATCCAGGATAGTGAAGACAAGTCCCTGGATCCCACTTCCAGCACCAAAGGGAAGTGAGCACAAGAAAATTAAGAGATTAAGAAACAGCATTTAGGGCCTCCCCAGTGGCGCAGCGGTAGAGCGCTGGGTTGCGAAGCTGCCGGCGGCCTCTGCGGTGCAGGTTCAGTCCCCGGCTGCTCCCCGGCCACCAGAGGAGGGTCCCACATGGCGCGCAGACCTCTCCTGCCGCCCGCTGCTCCCCTCAGCAGTGTACTTCGGTCCCTCTGCCTGCTCTGCTCCCCGCTCTGGCTCTGGCGAATTCTCTCACCCTCCCGCGCTTCTGACTGTACCCAGTGCATGTATAAACAAAACAAACAAATAAATAAAAACATGCCTCTATTAAAAAAAAAAATCTTTAAAAAAAAAAAAAAAAGAAACAGCATTTAATAGACCTGTGAGCAGACTCACTTGCCCTGGGATCCCAAACAGTAACACCGGTCTGAATACCAGCCAACCCATAGGTAAAGGAATCCCAAATCCTACCCTTACATTGTTGGCCTGGGATGCAAGAACTTTAAGGAATACTCAGAGTCACCATCAGGAGCTAACTTAGCAAACCTCTTGCAAACTTGCTGATAGCAGCACAGGTAGGCCCATCTTGGAATCCACCTTCCATTCTACTAGATCCTGAGAGTGACTCCCTGATGAATGCTCTACCTGCCTATGGGAAATAGCAAGGCTATCTACCAAAGACAATAGTGGAGAGGGTTATTCTTGGCAGAAAAACAGGCCCGACCACTACTAGATTCATCCTACCTGCTAGCAGCCAGTTAATTCCCTATAGCCAGCGTTCTACAGACCTCCCAAAGCACAGCCAGCTAATAAGCACACCCCAGTACCTACTATATTTCTTTGTGGTTCTCTCCCTGAAAGGCCTGCTACAGGGCCCCAAGCCACTAGACCCCACAGACATGTGCCAGCAGCAGCAGCCCGGCTACCACCACGTGCAGTCTGGCTACCCCAATGAAGCTCCCACAGACTAACTAGCTAGCTGAGGACCATGCTTCAGCTGCTAGCAACCATGTGACATCAAAGGCTACTGCTGGCACTATGTACCATTCCCAGCCCCGAGAACACCACAACTGCAGTCAGCCTAGACACACTGGTACATGACCTGTAGCAACTACATGACCTGTAGCTGACCTTCAGCAACTTCAGTCATACCCAAAGGCCTGACCCACAGCACCGCCCACTGAGCACATCTCAGTCCAGGCCTGAGGTCAGTCCCAATGAATGGGGGGAAACACAACTTGAGTAAATAGCTCAGGGTGCAAGGGGGCAGTGCCCCTGAATTCCATGCAACATCACCTGAATAAGACCAAGCTGCAGCACTAGAACAGGTAGTAATGTTACCTAAAACATAAACATAAATAATAAGGAAAAGTGGAGCAACAGAAGAACATGCCCTAAATAAAAGAGCAAAACAAAACTCCAAGAAAAGACCCTTAAAAAAATGGAGATAAGTAAATGACCTAAGGAAGAATTCAAAGTAATATTTATGAAGATGCTCACCAATCTTGGGAGAAAAATGGATAAAGTAGAAAACTAAAGGTACATCCAAACAGAAGTCATAGTTGGACTTTGAGGGGATGATGCTAAGCAAGGCAAATCACAAGGAGAATGGCATATTCTGAATGGTTTCATTCATGTGTGGGATACAAGAAAGAAAGTGAATGAACAAATAAAACCAGATACAAGCTTTTGGATTCTGACAACAGAATGGTGGTTACCAGATGGGCAGGGAAGGGTGTGGAACAGGTAGAGGGGGCCAAGTGATTAATGGTGGAAGGTGATTAGACATTTGGTGGTGGGTGCAGTGTGATATATTCTGAGGTGAGAAACTGTGGACCTGAGACTTACACAGTATTGTAAACTAATGTTAACTGAATTAAAAAAAATACATAGGAACATAACTTAATAATCTGTGTGTACATAATGGTCAAAAAAAGCTCAGAACAAAATATGTATGGAAGTATACATTTTAATACCACTGAAAACCTGAAGTATGCATTAGATTGGATGTGCACAGACATGAGACAGTTAGCGATCATGTCATGTCATTCCTTGCCTTGAGATCTGGAATAATGTATCACAGAGCCTTTTAATCCATTCTCAGCAGAAATGAGTCAAAGTCATTAATGATAGGATATTGTACTCAGGCTTGTGAAATCTCCAGTCTTCCCTTCTTTATCTTTGTAAATTTTCTTATCTTTTTTTTTTAAAAGATTTATTTTATTTATCTATTTATACAAGCACTGGGTAGAGTCAGAAGCCTGGGAGGGTGAGAGAATTCACCAGAGCCAGAGTGGAGAGCATAACAGGCTGACTGACAAAGTACACTGCTGAGGGGAGCAGCGGGTGGCAGGAGAGGTCTGCGTGCCATGTGGAACCCTCGCCCAGCGGCCAGGGATCGAATCGGCGCTATAACCGGCACTGCCGAGGCTGCGGGCAGCTTCGCAGCCCAGCGCTCAACCGCTGTGCCACCGAGGAGGCCCACATTCTCTTATCTTAACCTCATCTCAAAGACTTCGGTTTCCAGTTTGTATTTTCCCTGAAAATATTTGAACTTCGTAATTTATCCCAGTTATGATGTACTGTGTAAATACTTACTGGATACAGAGCTCAATCTAGGTATGAGTGAAATGAAGGAAAGTGGAAAATTACTTTGAACTTTTGTATGGCATGATTTGTACATGTTCATGGTGGGTGAATGAGTGAAACGGAACCTCAATCATCCCTAGATCTTCAAATTACTAGCAAGCAACACATTTAAGGACTCAGAGAAATAACTGGAAGACGGCTTCTCCAGTGGTGTTTTAAAAAATGCTTCTACAGGATGGTAGCAAGCTAAGGGTTTATGTGATCCTTTCTCATACTTAAATTTGCATTTAGGTTTTAGCCTTCATGTGAATTCAATCTTGATTTTAATGTGTGTGTGCGTGCATGTGTGTGCATGTATGTTGCGATCTAAAAAACTTACTCTTAATAATGTAATAGCAATGTGAAGGGAATTGGATAGACAAAAGTTCTGGCTATTCCCATTTTGTTTAACATTTTTTTTTTTTCTCTTGACCAACTTAAATTACTCTGCTGAATTCTAACATCATTGGGAAATAACTTACACTTAGTTAAGATTGGACAATATAATCACAGCTTCTATATTAATTACATTGTTCTGGGTAATAAGTGTTAATAAGAGGGAAAAATACCTAAGTACTTGGAAAATATGAGAAAAACAAGATTCTAAATCTCAAGTCTCTGAGTTGTGTTATCAATGTAAGATATAATTGCTTCATTAAAAGCAATACAATAACATCTTTAGGTGTGAATACATGTTATGTGCAAACTATACTAACCCAAATATATATTTCTTATATTTCAGAAACTCAAATATGTTTTTCTCATGCTTCAATTACAAAATATATGTTAATTAGCTGAACCTGATTAGAAATTAAAGAAAAGCTTTAAAGACATACTTTGGATTTCAATGATCTTCTGTAAAGAAACAACAGCATTCCTATTCGGGGTTTGGTGGAGAATATCTTCTGCAAGAGGCTCCAGCTGCAAGAATAGTAGAAAATAATATTAAGAGAATATTTTATACTTTTATATTAAGTCTGACAAAAGCAAAGCAACTAGAAACAAACTTTAAAAAAGCTTTATCCAAGAATTAGCTAATATTTTGCTGATATCAGTTCTAAAATTGTAGCCAGTTTTCTTTTTTGTTTTGCAGCCAATGTAATTGAATTCCAAGGGGCTTTTCTATTGGGCAAAAGACTTATCTATGAAGTCCCTGAAGCAGGTGCATGTCTGTGTATTATTCATTAAGAATCTGAGTTATTTGGGTAAATTTTGTAGGTTCCTCACAAACCAAATTCCATCGTGTCTGTATATGCAGCTGGGCCCTGCACACAAAACCTCGGAAAGTTGCAGTAGACACAGACCGAGCAGCCTATTATCCATACTTTCGTGGTGTTTTTATACCTAAGCTACCTTATTATACTTTTGGACAACTGATGGGGAAAGTCATGAGACACAGATGCTTTAATTCAATTATTATTGGATAAGTGGTAGAAAAAGTTTTCAAATCAAACCAAAAGTGAAATAACTGTAAATTTTCATTTAACTTCTACTTTATTCATAACTATGCAGATGTGCATGTGGAAGCACAGGAAAAATCCTCTCGTGCAACTCTCTGATGATCTTCTGGAATTACACTGATTTTTCATGGAGAAGCTCAGCAAACATTGCTTTGCAAGAAATGAGGACCTTTAAATAATTTATAGAGTGTTTTGGCAGAAGTAAATCTGATGATGCATCCCTGGGAATACTTTGTGATGTAGTTTGATGTGTAGCTACAGAAACTGCATAGCCAAGGCACTTACAAACAAAATACTTGTCCAGCTATTGTGATTCAGAAAACAAAGATCCAGTAACAGAGGGATTAATGAAAAGGAGTTTTCTTAGAATATTTAAATATAATATTCTTAACAACAAATGGAGGATCAAATTATAACATGGCATGAATGGGGACTGATGTCACTACACATCACACTGAAACATGAATTCATCTTTCTTCTTCTGTAGGAAAAAAAATAGCAACAACAAAAACTCAGGATTCCAAGTTGCCATAGCATATGTGAGTGAATCTCCCCCCCAGGGTCTCCCTGAATTGATTATTCTATACTTCAATCATGGAATCTAAAACAATAGCACCTTTCTTCCAGATGCCATAGGATAACACACTAGCTCAGGGATATTTATACATGGGTAAATTCACTAAATATAACTTTCTAGAGTGTTTTTCTTAGCTGCCAAAGAAAAACCTTTAAAACATCAAAAGGTTTATTTGCAATACCATTTGACGAGGGAAAAAAAAGTGCCAGTGGAAGTTTCTGCAAACTTAAACTCTTAAAATTTGTTAAAATCAATTTTTAAAATCTAGTATTCAGATAGTATCTTTAAGAATATGTTATCCCAGCAACACCCTCTTAACTCAGAGGAACTACTGAATCATAAACGGAAGGTTACTTGGAAAAATCTCACTCAAGAATTAGACAGGGTTGAACTACCTTGCTCAGAAATAATCTTTCCTTTCACTTCTGTCTGAGAGCCTGGAGAAAATAATTTTTAACAGAAATCAGGCAGATTTTACTAACAAAATATTTTGAAACATCACTCTCTGTTCAAATATTTAAAACAAAAGCACAGGGTTTATCAGCATCTTTAGTTCTTCAAAAAGTTTTCCTGTGACGTTAGGCTAAAAATACTGACAAATTGAAAGGTGCTGGCTAGTGGAAAGAAAGCTACAGGCAGATCATTAATGTAAAAACCTCACTTCTGGAACTCTCTCACATTGAGGTCTGTGGGCTATTTTTAAGACCTGGATTATGTAGAAAGTAAACGTGATTCAGGGTGTTGAGAATAAAAATACAAACAACCCTAAACCTCCAATTTGGAATCATCAGTTAGACACGATAAAGTTGAGTCTACTTATAAAAGCAACCTAGAGAATTAAGGCAATTACATTGATAATTTAAGCCTCCCAAACCATTTCCCTGCATGTTTTAGGTGAATGTCATTTAGAGGATTTAACCTTCAGTAAATTGCCCCAATTTGTTTCATTTTGAGGGTATACACATAGACAGAGCTGAATTCAGAAAGTTCTCAATGTAGGTTCTTTATTTTTTCCTTGGGTAGTTCTGCAGAGAAGGCAATGGGTAATACTCTTATTTGGCAAGAAAGCAAGTGGCATTTAGAGTCTGTTTTCATAAAATTAAAACCTTGTATAGAGGGACCACAGAATTGAGTTGTCTTTCTAGAGAGTTTGTTGATTTAATCACTCACAATTTAAGTACTAAAAACATCTGATGGAAGCATCTATTTAATAAATATTTATGAGAATTGGTCATTATTAGTAATCTAATTACTAACTGTAATGAAATAATATCAAATAAATAGTATTTTTTAAATAAATTTGGATTAAAAAATAAGAATGTGTAGAACACCTGTATTATACATTTAGTCTGGCTGATAAGATGTTGAAAAAATGTTGGCTGTTTAGCCTAATTAACATTAGGAAGAGTTATTAAAAGGTAAATAATGAAGTAATTTATGCAAAACAGACAAAAGTCATATTAAGATATGCAAAAGTCATATTAAGATACAGCAGATACGGATGTAGGAAGTATCACATAACCATTATGCCTTCTTTGTTGAGCAATTGTGTCAAGTAATAACAATTATCATGGAGTTATAAGACATCCTAGATAATTATTACATAACCTCTTCACACATGAAGTTCTCACCCAGCTCTGTTATATCTCAATGTTAATTACACCAATGCTAATAGCAATTCTTTATACAATTTTTCAGAATCAAAGACAGGAAAATTTCTTTCTCTACAACTTTTGCAGTAAGTTTCAGTGCTATATTGATAGAATTTGAATGTTTATTAAGTTGCACATATGATGTAATTTCTAAGAACTACAGCTATTTTTTGATCGATAAGATTTGTGGCTACTATCATATTGTAAATAATTATCAGATTCCTTCAAATTGGATCATTTCAATCTTCAAAAATCATTTCAGTTGGCTATGACACTTTTAAAGAAATAGGAAAGGGATATCATTGGGAAAACTCATAAGAGTTTCAAAAAATATTCTATACTTATGAGACATGAAAATCAGCACACTATCTTCATGATTTGGAACAGAATAGGTAAGAAGCTAAACAGAGACTGCAAATATAACCGGGTACAGATGTGTACATCAACTAAGCAAAGGCTCTATTAATTACTCTTAGTAACTTTTATATACACTGGTAATGCCAATGATAAAGAGAGAAAAACAATCCTCCCAGTTGATCAGGGAAAAATAGCAATAGCACAAAGATAAAATGGAATGAAATTTTGACAGGCTTTGTACTTGATCTTTATTCCAGTTTGGGTAGAACTGTGAGTTCTAAAAGATGCAATCCATGAAAGTGGTATATTCTTTAACTTATGTGTATGTTTAACCTCACTACTAATTTACAACCTTATGCACAGGGTCATATTTTTAGATAGATTTAGTCTAACTATTTGACATGTTCAGTGCTTTGGTAAAGGTGTATATGTAACTTTATTTTTATTTATTTTTTTTTTTTATAGAGGCATGCTTTTATTTTATTTTTATTTTACTTGTTTGTTTGTTTGTTTTATACATGCACTGGGTACAGTCAGAAGCGCGAGAGGGCGAGAGAATTCACCAGAGCCAGAGCGGGGAGCAGAGCAGGCAGAAGGACCGAAGTACACTGCTGAGGGGAGCAGCGGGCGGCAGGAGAGGTCTGCGCGCCATGTGGGACCCTCCTGTGGTGGCCGGGGAGCAGCCGGGGATCGAACCGGCGCCGCAGAGGTCACGGGCAGCTTCGCAACCCAGCGCTCAACCGCTGCGCCACCGGGGAGGCCCTGTAACTTTATTTTTAAAGACTTTCTGGAAATGATTTTAGATTTACAGAAATATTGCAAAGATATTACAGAATTCTCCTATGCCTTTCACCCAGTTTCCCCTAATGTTAATTATAAAAGTTCAGAACATATTTTAATTTCCTAAATTATGGTTGTACATAGATATGCAACTATGGGGGATTTGTCTTTTTCCATTATTTCTATTTTTAATTTATTTTTGATATTCTATGGACCCTATTGAGGACCACCAGTGCAATGTTGAGTTAAAGCAAAAAGACTTAGTCTTCATTTGATTTGAAAGAAAAATTTCCATATTTTTTTCCATATTTTTTCCTTTAAATGTGATGTATGCTATAACGTTTGTAGATATTCATGATCAAAATTAGAATTTTTCCCTTTATTACTGTTGCCAAACATAACCACAATCATAACTGGGTGTTTTATTTATCAACTTACTTTTAAACATTGGTTGAAATAGTCAAACTTTTTTTTCTTCATTCTCTTACTGTGGTGAATTACAATGACTTATTTTGGATTGTTAACATGTTATATTTCTTGTCTAAATCTAGTTTTGTTAGAACTTGAACTGAAAAAAATTTGTTTAGAATTTTAACTACTGTGCTTTGAGGAAGATTTTCCTGTAATATTCCTTTCTCATAATGTTATTTTGAGTTTTGTGGATCAGTATTAAATTGACCTAGAAAAACAGTTGGGAATTGTTCTTCCCCTTTCTCCATTTACTTTAAAACAACATGAGATTGGTAATATTTTTTCCTTAAATTACTGGTAGAATTCACTGGTGAAGCTATATGAGTTTGGGATTTTCTCTACGTAAATTTTGTCTTACTGATTCAATTTTGCTAATAATAATAGTACCATTCAAGTGTCCTGTCTTCTTCATTCAGTTTTTGCCAGGTTGTATTTTTATAATTTTCCCATTTTCAAATAAAATTTCAATTTTTATATAGTTATTTTTCCATTTTCTCTTATAATCCTTTTAATGTCATTAAAATCTGTAGTGTAGGCCACTTTTTCATTTCAAGCGCTGGCAATGCATGACGTGACTGTTGCTCTGTCTCACAACAAGTTCTATCAATTTCATGACTTATTTCA